TACGGCTACGCCGATCCCAACTCACAGAAGCACGAGACCCGTGGTCACGATGGCACCACGCAGGGCTCCTACTCCTACGTGGACGGGCATGGTCATATCCAGTCCGTGTCGTACACCGCCGATCCCCATCACGGCTTCAACGCCGTAGGCACCAACCTTCCCAAGGCTCCTCAGGTGCATGCCCCCCTCTATGCCACCGCCCACGCCGCCTATGTGCCTTACGCTCATGCCCATGCCCACGGACCCATCCACATCCCGGTGCTGACCCACGGAGGAGTGCCCGTTGATACTCCCGAGGTGCAGCACGCCAAGGCCGCCCACGCCGCTGCTCATGCCGCTGCCGCCCACAACGCCGGCCACCATCTGTACAAGCGATCGATCTACGGTGGCGGCTGGGCCTACGGACAGGCTGCCCATGTCCCGCTCACCCACGGAGGAGTGCCAGTAGATACCCCCGATGTGCAAGCCGCCAAGGCCGAGCACTACGCTGCCCATGCCAAGGCCCTGGGTCAGGTGGCCCATGCCCATGGAGCCCCGGTTGAGACCCCTGAAGTTCAGCACGCCAAAGCCGCCCACTTCGCCGCTCATGCTGCTGCCCGCTCCGGCCACGCCATCGCACCGATCTCGCACGGCGGCTACCACGTCCCGGTGATTCACAACGGAGTGCCCGTTGATACCCCCGAGGTGCAGCACGCTAAGGCCGCCCACTACGCCGCCCTGTCGCAGGCTTCCGCGCATGGTGGTGCCTCCCATGGATCCTGGGACGATGGTCACTACGACGGTCGCTGGGAGGGCGGTCACGCCAGCAGTCATGCCAGCAGCTACGCCAGCGGTTACTCGCACAAGGGCCCCATCCACATTCCGGTGATCCACAACGGAGTGCCCGTTGAGCCCGCCGAGGTGCAGCACGCCCGTGCCGCGCATCTGAACGCCCTGGCCGCCGCCAGCCACGGCGGAGCCGGACACGGTGGATACTACGGTGCCGGTGCCGGACACGAGGACGATGGCCAGTACCACGCGCACTACGACCACTACTAAGATGGGATCCATCTCTGCCTAATCGACTACGGAAGCCAACTATGCGTATACGTGATGTGCGTTGCGTATACGCCATGTGACTATATTGCAGCATATCTATCCACTCTTTTGCCTTCTATCTTTTGACTTCTATCTCTTGATAATCTGTCTATCTTTGAACTACACACACTATCCATACACACTTACGGAAAACTGAAACTACACACGGGAGATTGAAGCCGCCGAATGACGGCTTCCTTGCCCGCTGATTTTCACTCGAACTGGATCTCAGGTCCAGTAACAGCACACATAATCATAACCTCTATACGAATCTTTCCTTTTATTATTCTTCTCTATATTCTGCTATTCTTCTATGACTTTTATTGAGGAACGCTGTACGAGTATGTTGTAAATAAATGTTGTAATCTTTTTGTATCTGACTAGATATGAATCTTTATTTTATACGAAACTGCAAACAGACAAATAAACTGCAAAAATGTATTTGATCACAAACATGAGTTTTTTATTCATTAACTTTAAATAAATGACAAATATTTCAGAAATCACCAAAAAAATCAACACAATAGATATAAAATGAACAATTTTCTGACCATCTTTCCTTTAGTATAAAGTCCTTTATGATCCTTTAACGAAGAAGAAATACTTAGGTCTGTTTTAGCAAGCAATTATCATATGAAAAGAAAATGAATTCAAAACCAATAAAGTAATATGCCCAATTACGTTTATTTTTAACCCGTATATTTGACAAATTCTACAAAAATCTTTTTATTTTCTGTTTATTGTTTTGTCATATTAATTGGAGTTCTTCCTGGAAGAGAGCTTGTATCTGGCAATTTCCACTTAACTTTCCTGCCCTTTTTGTCCACAATCTCTTGCCCATGTAGGATTCTTTTTTCTGGGCCAGACCACCCATACAACCACGCCGTGACCCAACCACCCAGTCACCCAACTTTGACTGCATTGACAGTGGGGAAGCGTTTGAAAGGAACATAAATATTTGCAATGCAACGATTGAAATTTGCATACACACACATTCTGGCAGCGGATGAATGTTTGTGTGTATTGTGGGCGAATGCCGACAGCGAGGGCGTTGTGAGCTGGGTTGTGGCCGGAGCAGAGGGTAGCTGCTGCATGTGGCATGACACAGACAGTGAACAAACAATCAATCAATGCGGTATGAGTCTTGTATTTTTTGTCCTGTCCCTCAGTGCCTCAGCCGCTTGCTAAATTGAGTGTCTTATGCGGAGAATGTGTCACCCAGTTCTCCAGTTTTTAGCTTCCAGCTCCCAGTTCCCAACTCCCCCCTCTGGGTGCCTTGAACTATTGGCAGAAAGATGAAGTTGAGCAAACAATTTGTGAAAATAGATTCCCGGGCATTTGTCGAGGCTGGAAAGCCGACTTGAAATTGAATATCGCAAGTACCCCTATGTAGGTCCACATAACTTTCCCAAAAAGCCTGACGGAGAGCCATAAATTCAAGTACAACCTTTTGGCCCAATCTGTAACCTTGCTGCTGTTTTATAAGGCAGCCCGAAAGCCTGGCGCAGAGGCCAACTAATTAAAAATGAACAACCCGCCGTTCGCACGCAAAGGTCACACTCGCTTTCCCCCACCGAGGAAAATGTGGGCAGCGATTTTCAATTTTCCACGCATAAACCAGAGCAGGCGGGCTCGGGCGGGGAACCTAAGCTATGTAGGGAGCCCCTCGTCCAATATGGGATTGTCCATCTCTGTATCGTAAATTTCGGGATGCCAAGGGAGGGGTCGCCATTTAATTAAGCATGCATTGGCATTCGGATTTACGACCAATTGTCGGCTAACGGTCTAAAGTAAGTGAAATCAGTTTCAAAAATACACTTGTCTGCACATAGAAAAAAGATTTTGGTTTAATTTAAATTAAATATAATATTCTGATGAAGAATTATTTCTTTAAAAAGACACTACTTTGATATTGAAAATCATTCGTTTTAAGGAGTAAAAAATACTAGGTTGAGGAGGGTCTAATGAAAATTAAAGTTCATATAAAACTCCCCAGTTCACATTAGTTTCTTTATTTAGTAGCTTTCACTACCCACTCTTAATTTACAATTTTTTTGTTTTAAATTTGTTATCTTTGAGAGGTTTTAATTAAATTATTTTCGTGTGCCTGAATAAATAAATTATTTATATAAAAGATTAACAGCTCTCGAGTTGTTTTTAAAATTTTATTGATCATTAAGAGTAACTTTTGACATACTACTATTAAGTATCTATCAAGTAAAGTTTAAACCTTATTTTGAGGTCTAAGAAACAAAAAATAAATCGTATTAAATACCAATTGTTGTAATTTTTTGCCGGTTTCTAGCAACGACCTTCAGGGCAGGTGGGGCAGGGTAAGTGGCGAACTCGGCACTTGGGTTACTGACCCAACCGTTAATTTAATTACTCGCCAGCGCATTAAAGCTGAAATTGTCCGAATCAATAGCAGTGGCGATTGTCCGTCCACAGTTCAGAATATTTGGCACCCAGAAAACGGTAGCAACACGAACGATCGAACCTGAACGACCGCCGACCGCCCAGCTAGCCGCAAGTGTTGGGGCGTGGTCGGTTGCAGTCAAAAGTGAATGTGCAACAACGGCATTGCTCTCGTGTTGTTTCTGGCTCAACTAATTTTGGCCAAACAATATTATTGCAATTGAAGGCATTAATTTGCAGCCTGTCCGGCTCACCTCTCTCATTTCTGAAATTTTATTGGGAGAATGAAGAATTCCATTTGCATTTGCCAAGATTGCGTTTGCCAGGCAATTGGGGGAAACCGAGCCTGTGGCCAGTTTGTGTGGCATTTGGCCCAGAGCCCTCCGCCCAGATTTGTTAGAGCCGTTAAGAAAACAAAGCAGCAAGCCAGTCTATTACTTGGCTCTCGACACTGCTGTTGTCTTTATTTTTGGCTTCGGATTTCGTTGTGGGCGTTTTTGAGGTGCATTTTGCATATTTCTGGTCAAATAATGGCTTTTATGTTTTGCATCAATTTAATTTATGGTTGAGGCGTTAATTTATGGCCTAATTGATCTGATTTGAATACATGTTGCAATATCAGGAGTGTTGAAATATATTGGTAATTGCTATTAACTATAGCTATAGTTTATGGAGGTTTTTTTTGTCTTTGCGGGAAAACTGCTCTTAGAAACTTTGTCGCCGCTGCGTGTTCATCCTCCACGAGTCCTCAATTTGAAACACATTTTGTTTTTACTTTTCTCCGAGAAAATTTTTGCAACACATACGGCAAAGGAGAAATCATTGTTGCAAAGTGGAGATAGTGCAGCTTGGAAAATTCGATTTCCAGCTTATCGCGCCATTTTCCGCAACAAAGTAAGCGACATGAAAAGGAAAATAGGGAATAATAAGAGAAAACCTCTCAACCTGAAAGGAAAACCCTCAAACTAAAGTGTAGATAAGGGAGTTTTTAGAATTGCAATTAATGGTCAGATTGTAAAGGGTAAAGGTTAGGCCTGCCCTGACCTTTGTGGCTCGTCCTACGCGAATATGAAAGTCACTTCCAGCCCACACACTTTATGCAAGGTAAATACGCACACAAATTTTGGGTTTTTCCATATTGGCTGGCGGGTATTTATTTGTGTATTAGCCCTGGAACTGATTGGCATACAATTAGCATTTTGCCCTGAAAACTCGACTAGTAAAGAGCATATGTAAATGGCAGTGCCTACTTTCAGGCATAATTTATGCACCGATTCCGACCTGACATTTGAAAGCTGCTGTCAAGCTTTTTGGAAACATTCGAATACACGGCCCCAGGCCAATCCTGCTTTAATATACATTCAGTTTAAATTTAGAAATCCCCTCCACTCTCAGTGGCGAAAGGTAAATCCAATCCGATTTTCATTAAACAAGCATATTTAATGATGAAGGGTCGAGTGACCTTCGGCCTTCTGCTGGAAATGTGTGAAGTGATTAAAGATTCAAACTTTTTGCTTTGTAATCGAACTTTAATATTCGTTTGCCTTAGCTTAGGTTTAATGTGGGCTCCAAAAATATTGACTAGCTGCAGACTACGTAGAACTAGTGGGACTTCCGAAAGGGATTAAGGCACTTCATGGCTGGGGCTTCTAGGCCACGTGACTGGAAAGGAAGCGGGCATCAATGAGGAGTAGAAATCATAAGTATAAATGGATTAATTACTCACATTAAATTGTTCTCCCAAACAGGAGCAGGTACTAATACCGCCTGGACGGGAATCACGGCAGGTGGCGACGCTGGCTGGGGGGCAGCTCCTCCAGCACCTCCTCCTCCGCCGGCGCCGTTGCGTGCTCCCTTGCCCCCCTTGCCACCCTTTCCCCCTTTGGAGCCGTCCGGGCCGTCAGGTCCATCAGCACCGTCGGCACCATCTTCTCCGTCGGGCTGTGCACCCGCCGTACTTGGGGCTCCTGGCTGTCCATTTTCACCGCTTTGTCCAGAGGTGAGTGTACCGCCGCCACCTCCGCCTCCGCCACCGCCACCACCACCGGCACTACCACCGCCTCCTGCTCCACCGGCACCTCCAGCTCCGCCAAGGATTCCGCCAGCTTGTCCGGCCTTTCCGGCCTCACCCGCTCCGCCTGCCTCTGCGGAAGCTGAAGGTGCATCTTGCGGAAGAGCACTGCCCGCGCTGGAGGTAATCAGGGCGGGGCCAGGTTCAGAGTCGACGGAGCCGACGCTTCCAGAGCCAGACTGACTGACTTCCGGGTCCACGTACTCGCCCTCCAAGCCTGGCTGAGGTTTCCATAGACCGTCCTCTGCACTCGAGGGTGGCTTGTACAAGCCATCATCCTCCGGGGGAGGAGGTGGTGTCTGGACCAGTAGAAGCACTGGTGCTGGCTGGGGGATCAAGTAGGTACCGACAGTCGGCAAGGGCACCACGTGGGCAGCTCCCTCCTCGAAGTAATTTAAGGCCAAAAGGCCTAGTAAGAGTAACTAAAAACAAGGTGTTTCCTGAGTAATCCTAAGTCATCATCTCCAGAACTCACCAACGCCGTACGCATATTTTGGGTAGTCCTTGGTCCAATACAATCCCTTCGAGACCGTGCTCGACTGATGCCACAATGGGACTGACTCGGTTGGCAATGCCCTAGGCCGGCTTTTATACGCCGGCTAGACGAGATCTCTGATTAATAACCAGCATCGGCATGTTCTATACTTGGAAGCTGCTGCCACTTTGCATGGCAGTTGCATAAATCAAGAGCTACCAACGCTAATTGCACCAACAACAATTACGCGATACAATGATCTGGTTAATGTGTGTAATGTTCACAATAAGTCTCAGTCAAGTTCACGTTAAAACGTAGTTGGTATTACACCTGAACTTGGACTCTTTGATTGACGTTAGTCCAGAGGCTGCCCTGCAAGAGTCCAAATACGGAGTTGGTCAGAAACTCTGTTTTAATTGAAGACTTCTAATATATTCTATATATATATATAATATATTCTAATATATTTCCTTTTTAAGCTAAAGATAGTTTTTAAGGTGAGATAGGTTTTTAATAAATCATTTTTATGGTAAACTGAATACCTTAAATTTGGGTACAATTTTTGAACAAAATTATAGGAAAGTATTTGGAATTTTTATCCTTTAAGCCATAACATGTTATAGCAAGCGCATAAAAGAGCATCTTTGCAGTCGACTTGACCTCATCTCTCCCACAGACTCCATCATCTGAACCAGATTCTTGAAATTTCTTACTGCTTAATCTCCTAATAAATAATTTAAATGGCTTTTTAAACGCAATCAAGTGCCGGCGTCGACTCGCGGATTAGATAAAACGCCATTCATGGCTACGCGGCGTCAGTTGGTTATTTGAGCTCCCCAGGGAGGTTGACTTGACCAGGTTGGCTTGCCCACTGCCCCAGTTCTCTAGTCTCAGTTCTCACTTGCTGTTGACTCAATAGCCCGGCTCGATTGCATGCTACTGGAGTCTCGAGATCATAACTATTTCCAGACCGGTTCCGCGTCCATCAAACAGTGCTGGCAAATATTAAATGCCTCACTTCAGAAATAATCTAACCCAGTGGAGTAAAGGAGTGCAGGAGGTGCTCTTCCTGAGCCAAATAAATGATGGCCAACTATTAAACTCTGAGCAGCTCCAACTAAATCAATTAAGCCAACAACCTAGGAGAAACAAAAACAGGGGTAACAACAGCCCCGGAGGAGCAGCAGGCAGCTAAACAAAGTAATGGCAACGAGGCCATTATCATCATCGTCCTGTGACGCATCCTGCTGCTACTGCTCCAGCTCCAGCTCCCTGGCCGTTTAGTTGCCCTCCCACAATCCTCGTCATCGTTAACATTTAGCAGCACAAGCAACAACATCACTCACAGGATCCAGGGCGGGTGGCCGGAGGTAATGGAGTCGGGACCTTTGGCTGGGGGCCGGTGTATCCTTTTGGGTGGTTTGTTTGTCCGCCCGTGCGTTTCTGAGATAGCATCTTGTGTGTTGTTTTGTGTGGGCTGCCGTGCTGCTTTTCCTTAGTTTCTTTTGAGGAACTTTTCTGCCAATTAGATGAAGCAAACTTTGGAACGCAACTGGAAGCAGGCACGTGGAATTATGCCAGCCCAGCTTGACTGAGATTCCTTTTGCTGGCGCGGCACAAATCCTATTACTGTGGACAATCCACCAAATGTCCACCGAGTGTCGATTAATCAACGCACCGCACAGATGCAGACAATGCAAGGGGACCAGGACATCCATCTATCCATCCATCCACATCGAAATCTCCCTGGGCAGCATATAAATAGTTTCCCGGCGACTCCAAAGGATACACCATTTGTTTCGCCGCCTGACAGACAAGTCAAGTCAAGTTGCCGACTGTGTCTGTGTCTTTGCCCCAGATAGCCATTTGTAACTCTCCCTAAACGGGGTTTGTTGCCACGAAAAGGTTGAACCCGCCTCCCACCACTTACGTGCCCGGAATGCGGCGATGGCCGAGATCGAAAACAGTTTACAGAAATGATTACCACTGGGCGAATGCGTAATGGGCAATGGGGCGTATGTGCGATGTGGCATTCGGCATTTGTGTGGCAGGCTCTCTGAAGTGTGAAAAGCATGGGCGAGAACTGAATTAAATGGCAGCAAGCCATGATATTTAATATGTGGAATTCATATTTACGAGCCAACTGAAAAATTCATGGGGAAATGGTTTCCAGCCATTCGGCTATTGGCCTAAAAGTCATGGGGTTGTTAAGGCTATTGAATTACAGCGAGTAATATCGAATTTCTCTGTCTGGCGGGAAATGATTTATGGACCCTTTCGGAGGAGTTCGCACATCAACGCCTTGTAATGACGGGCTACACCTGTCACTCTGAATAATTTTGTCCAAAACTGGTCCGTGAGGGGCTAAAATCATCAATAATAATAATAATAATATCAGAAAAGGCACCCGTGCAGACAGACAGCGAGACAAAAACCACATTAAATTCACAATAAATCAAAGGTTTCTTTAATAAAGCCCTCATGGCCAGCCGCATAGTAGGCGTGGCACTCGCAGTCCTGCTAATAACTCATAAACGTGCCGCAACACAAAATAAAAATCGGGCAAAAAGCAAAAACGAGAGACAAACAAGTGTCTAAAGAGCTTACACAGAGTAGGACGAAAATGTCGGGGCTTTAATAAAAGTTGCAATATTTTTATTATTTTTATTGAGCGCCGCAAATTGGCCCATTGTGTTTTGGACAGCCTGGCCGAGTCTGGCCTGGTCTTTTATGGCGATATCATAAAGGCATTTTGCTTTTGTTTTGTAGTTTTTGATTTGATTGCAATTTTTGTTTGGCTTTTGTGTCTTTTCCCGTTTCGTGGATTCCTTTGTTTTTGGCCATCTTTATATATATACCATATAGTATTTGTGGGTCCAAGGCGTTTATTGGTTTTCACGCCATGGCTAATGACCAAAACATTTACGAGCATAACGTCGGCGCCTCCGGGCAGCATTGCCCCACCACACCACCGCCCAACCGGCCAGCCAGAACCAACCAATAAAGAGACTATCGCAACTTGGTTGGACTTTAAGGAGCCGCAACATTCGATATCGGACAATTTGGCAGATTCAAGTGCTAAGCCTTAGAGCCCGATTGAAAGCCTTCGAATATGCCATAAATACTGCAGGCCAACATTAAGCGACTTATCGGCCAGCAGCCGCCGCCAGTTTGTCTGACATTTTGGCATTCTGACATCAATTTGCCCCAGTTTATGCGCCAGTTTATACGCCGGCGGGCATCCCTAGCCACCATCTCTAGGCAGCCTGATCCCTTATCATCCAGAAATTTCCTGCAATTTACACATAGACGATTGACGCCAAGGGGGCGCAGAATGGTTTTAGAGGAAGTTTTCATAAATTGAGTTGGAAACTGCCAGCTTGAAGAAAGTGTGGTTGCCTTCCATTTTTCTTGGTTCATTTGAGGCGGTTTCTGGTCTCGTGGCTGTGCTCGTGGAACTACGGATTCAGACTCCGTCCTGTCATGTTATGTAATTGCCGCAGCAGCCACAATCTCGGCGCAGTTCCAGTCGCAAAAGTCATTTGAGAGAATGTCGACAGCCAGCGGGAAAAGCAAACACAGAACAAGAAAGCCCTGTCGCAGCCTTGGTAATTGAATGTATTGTATTGTCCTTTGGAAATACTCTGTCTTTCTGGGCTATTCATAGAGCCCATTTGCATAAATGTCTGCCGCGACACGAGTCAGACATTGAGACAGAAACGCGGACCATTTTATTGTGAGTATTTGCTCAATTCATGGGGTTTCACCATTTATGAGTATTGCAGATTATTATTGGGGTTCTTTGCCCACACTCCCACCATCTCTCCACTCGTACATCCCCTCCTAGCCGCTGATGACGCAAATGCCCGGGCATTCGTCTCCTTCGACTGCGTCATCTTCACTTTCGACCGAAAGGGGACCTGTTGATATGGCGACAACTCAAGTTGGGCTACTGCCTTCTCCACCAATGTGTAATTCCGATGAGTCATCGGAAAAATGGGCAAGGAAAGCAACCTTCAACTCAACTCGAAATACCCAATATGCCGTATAACTGCAAAGGTTATTTCATTTGGCGGGATGCCTTAAACCTATATATGCCTATATCGATTTTCTATAAATATCTGTCAAAATCTCTGAGCATAATATTTTTTGTCAACTTTCCTTTCTTCAAAATTTTGAGGAGATTTTGGATTTTGGAGGAGAATATGGTCAATAATCATCCGATTCTTAAATGGCTTGTCTTAAACGACTTCTTGATCGATTTTCTATAAATTTATGATAAAATCTCTAAACAAAATATTTTGTACACTTTCTGTCAAATTTTTTTTAAGCGTCCCCTTCAACATTTTGAAAAAAACACGGGGAGGAGTATATGGCCCAATCTATGCCCATATCTTTGTCAATATTCATTCGATTTCCAAGCGGAATACTTTAAACGATTTCATTATCCTTTTTCTACAAATGTCTATCAAAATATCTAAAAACAAAATATTTTAAAAAAATTTTTTATATATTTTTTTAAAATTTTTTTGAGGGTTCCCTTCCAAATTTTTGCATTTTCATGGGGAGGACAATATGGCCCAAGCTTTGACCCAAGCTACGGCCATATCTTTGGCAATGTTCATCCGATAAGCGGAATACAACATAGGCGGGATGCCTTAAACAACTATATGAATTTTCTATAAATTTTATAAATAAATATTTTTTTTAAATTTTTTGTCACATTTTCTTCAAAATTTGGAAAAGGTATGCTTTTGGTAGGAGAAAGGAATAAAATAGTTTATTTAAAAAGTAGTGTGATTCGTCAATTCCCAGATAAATAAAACTCTCCGTTACTTTAAAGTAATCATTTTCAATATATTTTACAATAAAGTACTAACCCTCATTCTTTGGGATACATAATATTTGAAATCCAATATAAAAGCGGCAGTCAGACGATATTTGATTCCGCTTAATACGATTCCCTCGTAAGAGTGTCAAGTAAAGCCCATAAGTGGCGGCGGCTTGAGATCCACTTTCGTTTCCGGGTTATTTATTGCCTTATTTGCCCTACTCGTTCCCACACAAAACGTCTCAATTTCGTTCCGGCTTTATGTG